TAAAGCCTCTGCCTGGAGTTTTCCCAGCATTTTTGCTACAAGTAGAGTCCCCAACCTGCCCCCACACCAGTGTTGCCTCTTCCATGGCACAATAAATATGAATACATTTGTAACAGACAGGCTGCCTCTTTCTTAATCACAAGTTATATCTGCTTACTTGTTTGGTGTTGGTTTGTATTGAGTCACTAAGAAGCATATGAGGTTAGGGCACTCATCTTTTCAATAATGATACAAAATCTCCACGTCTCTCGAACAGATATCAAGCTTGGGAGTCATTCATTTTCATTACCCTCTCCCTCCATAGGAAAACCTCAAGAACACAGTTTATGTACTTAAAACAATAAGCTGAATCACTGTTGCTATTTAACATCTTATTTATTAGAAAATGTTCATTCTTTGTCACTATGCCCAAAGTCAATGCAGCAAAGGAAACAATTATTTTAAATAGAAGAAATAAATGGAATAATACCAACTTGCAAACAAATTTTAAATTAAAAGAATCCCCTATATGTTCTTTTTGGACAGGTCTGCCTGATCTCCCAAGAGATTAGTAGGTACATGACATCCTATTATCTGTTTGCACAACACGGATCATGGAGGGAAGAGGGGATAAAATAACATCCTTGCACAAAAAGTTTGGTCTCTTCAGTTTGCAGCTAATATATAATGAGTTTGCAACCCATGGATTTTGTAGGCTGTTTCTCTGTGGCCTAAGGAGTCACAGTGACAATTTCAAAGGCTATATGAATTCCTTTTTAAAATAAAATAGGAAGGGGTTGCCTAGGTGGACAATGGGAACTGAGCTATTTCCATTACCTTATGTTAAGAAAAACACTAGTGAGACGACCCAGCTATTAATTGACCCCTAACTTCAGAAACTCATTTGCAAGGATCTTTCCATGCCTATTTGGATGGGAAATGTACTATCGCTTCTCTTCTCTGGGAGGTTATCAAAGAACACACTTTACAAAACTCCCAAAGGACACATAATCAGTCTTTTAAGACAGCAATTTGGCTGTAGCAGGTTTCTGCCCATTCAGCTAAGCAGGTCTGTGAATGGTACTGGAGACAGCTAATGCCTTTGGTTTTCTGGGCATCGGGGAAACTTACCACAATGTGTGATTAGGAAGAAAGAGCAGAAAAAGCTAACTTGTGGACGCCCAACTGAAAATACACTAACAAATAAGTCAACACCATATATCACTGTGCCCTTTGGGAATAGGGTAGGGGATAATTTTCTAATGTTAAGAGTGTCATAAGTCTGCCAAAGTCATAAATCAGCACGACTTTACAAGGGCCTCTGGAAGGAGAGAGGGAGACCCCATAAGAAAATGACAGATGCTCGTTTATTTCCTGGCCTTTTTTTTTTTTAACCTGTTAGTTCTTTCTTCTCAGTCAGTATATGTGGTATCTCCACTTCCCCCAACAACAACAATGAAAAGATTCTTGACTATTATACCTTGGATTGCCCCTCATCGGCTAAAACATGGCAGAATTGATGGTATAAGAACATTTCAAAAGCCTGCAGTTTTTGAAGCATACCAAGGCCAGTGAGGGTTCCCTAAGAGAGGAGGTAAAGGCTTTACCACTTGCCAAAATCTGGATCCGCCACATCCCTGTGCTCCCCATCAGGGGTCCCAGCTCTGAATTCTCCCAGGAAGCCCCTCAGACCTTTCCTGCTCCCTCCAGACCTTTGTCCTCCTGTCTGTCTGGAACTGCCTGGGGTGCACTTCTTCTAACCCCATCATCATCTGATTTGAATTCATTCCTCAAGGGCCCAGCTCTTTCCAGCTGACAGGTCTTTTCCTCTCATCCAGCCCACACTGAGTTCCCACTTTCTCAAATTCTTATTGTTTTTATAATCTATGTAATAATATTTTATGCGTATACCCATGTATTGAATACTCACTACGTAGTAGGGTCTATATTAAGTAGTTCTATATACTATCTTATTTAATCTTCACAGCTACCCCAGTCTATTTTCCATTGAGGAAATTGTGGCTACAGAGTCAGTGAGCAGCAGGGATGGGATTTGAACCCAGATCTGTCATCAGTGAAGTTCATGCTCTTTCTCATATTCCTTCCTCTGGGCTGCCTCACAGTATATTTGCATTGGACCCTCTTATATCTTATTCTATGTGCCTGTGCCTGCCCTGGACAATGGCATTTACTTCACTAGTGAATGGGGATCACGTGTTATATTTGTCTAGCATGGAGCAAAGCATGCAGTAGGTGCCTAATATTTACGAATGGATGTAGAATGAATGAATGGGCATATTTCTTTAAGGTTCTCAAAGGCTTTATAAGAACAACCCTGACGGACTGCGGTGGATGGATAGGGAAGTGCGGGGTGGGCAGCGATGTGTGGAAAGAGTCCATGATAGTCAACAGATCATCTTGCTTGGGTTCGCTGTATTTCCCTTAGACCCTCAGTAACAAGTAGGGCCACGTAAAACCTGGCACAGAGGCAGTGTCAGGGAAATCCCGAGGATATGTACCACCTCCACCACAAAAGTAGTATGACTGTGGTAATTGTTGCTCCTGATGTTTCTCTGAGGAGCCAACACCCCTTCAGCCAATCAGCAGCAGGACAGGATTTCAGCATATAACTGGGATCCCTTGCTAAATTTTAAATGGCTTAGTTAGATCACTGGAAACTAGTGCCAAATGAAAGTCTTTTTCATTGACCTGCTATTAGGAGGCCATTGCATTATAAACCTTCAAAGCTTGAGCCATAAAATAATTTCAAATGCAGAGCCAAGAGATGAGTTCCAACATGTAATAAATAAAATTTAGAAGAAGCGTAAAAACTAAAGGGAAGGTCAACTAGTTTGAATGGCATACAGATTTAATGTTAGTGTCACAATCTGATGGAAAACCTCAGGATTTGAGGTGGTTCATGTCAATTCCATCATTGCCCTTCATAGAACCTCAACTAGATTACTTCGCCTTGCTGTGCCTTAGTCTCCCCATCTGTGTGATGAAGAATGCAATCTCTTTTATTCTCCAATTACCTTCTTGATGTCATCTGAGATTCATTTGATGGCTGAGTTTCCTTTCCCAAGTCTCATGTAAATATACACAATGTTTCTATAAACCTATCTGCATGCACATCTCCATTATAAGAACATATCACTCAGGACTTTCTATCAAGGCAACCAGCTCCATTAAAAAAAAAAAAACAGAATGGAAGGGTAGAGTTATTTTCAGAGTTAGAGAAACAGTACAGAAACAGGTTCCAGATAAACAATCTGCTGTTTATCCATTAAGCCTTGCTACTTCCCTTTCAGAGTACTTAAAGAACATGATTCTATCTTAGATCACATCAAAGAGAGCAATACTTTTACAATGACTTTTAAAATAACTTTAGAAACTTCTTTCTTTTCAAAAATTGCTGTAATTTTCATGTCAATTAAAAATTAGGAAAATACTTAAGTGTATTTCTCAATTGGACAAAATGCCAGGAAAACAGAATCCAAGACTCACTAAAAAAGGAAAAAACACAAGGCTCTCACTGAATCCCTATCCCCAACCCACTTGGCCAGAGTTCTCTTAAGTTTTAGGGCTTTCCTGGTGGCTCAGATGGTAGAGGATCCGCCTGCAACGCAGCAGACATGGATTCAGTCCCTGGGTCAGGAAGGTCCCCTGGAGAAGGAAATGGCAGGCCACTCCAGTATTCTTGCCTGAGGAATCCCATGGACAGAGGAGCCTGGAGGGCTACAGTTCACGGGGTCACAAAGATTTGGACACGACTAAATGACACATATATACTCTTAAATTTTAAATTATCGTGTCTGCTTCTTATGGGTCTCCTCTTGCTCTTTCCCCATTGCCCAGCTGACTGAAGTCTCTCCTAGCCCCCTCTGGAAGTCAACTCCTTCATCCCTTCCCTTTTCTTTGCTTGTTGCATCTAACATCTGGGGGAAGGGGCTGGAAAACAAGAGACCCAAAACCCTTAAGATTAGGACTAGTTCCAGGGCTAGAGGGAACCTGAACTGCCTCCTTGAGGAAAGGACATGAACATGTGTTACCTGCTAGTTACTAGGCTATAAGTCATAGATTGGTGAAGCTATTAGATTTTTCTCTTTCAGAATAAGGAAGATTTGCTCCACTTATAAGGCAACATCATTTAAGCTTATGTTTCAGCTTAGGGAGAAGGAACCCCTCCTGTTCCTTATCTAGTTAGCTCTTACTCCATCGGGGCTGTAGTTAAAGTGTTATACTGGGACAAGTAATGAATAGAGCCCCTTTCCTGAAAAGCATCTTTGATAAGATCCTTCATCAGACAGACACTGTGACCCAGCCAAGCAGCAATGATCAGTCTAGTCCTACACATAAAAATAATAGAAAGTAGGGACAGGAACCTGAGCTTGGCCAAGTTGTAATCTAAACTTTGGGGATTTGCTAGTAAATAGGATAAAGCCCTTTGGATACCCCACACTGGGTGTTAGGGAATAAAATGGTTCCTTCTTCAAAGAAGCAGCTAGAAATGAATGATCCCAGGCTACATCCTGAAAGGCTATACCCTTCGGGACTCAATTACAGTCATCAAAATCTCTATCTTGGAAATGAATTATTAATTGTAATGATGATACCAGACCTCTCATTTGTATCTCTTCCTCAAATCTCACCCATGAATTACGCCCTCCAGGAAGCCTTCCATAAACCCCTCTCCACCTTGGGTTAGACGCTGCTCCTCCCCCCACAGCCTCCATCTCAGTACTGACTTACTGTGTACATCATATCATATCATTGTGCTTTTTCTTACCTGGAGGCTCCAGTTCCACGAGGAAAGGCTTACATCTTTTAGCTGATTACTTTAGCACCAAGAATTGTGCCTTGTGCAGGGTACGTGTATGCTATATGCTTGAATGAACAAGTAAATGAATGAACCCCTGCATCTTCCATAACATAGTTCCTCATCTGACCAAAGAGCTAGTCTAGTGTGTTCTCATAATCCCGCAAGGGTAGGGCATTGTGACATCACTCTAAGAGAAGCCAAAAGAATCAGCAGAAGTTATATCAGCAGAGGCCAAGGAGTCTGTCCTCCACAAACTTGGGAAGTTCCCCCCGAGTGAAATAGCCCAGAGGTATTTTCTTAGCTTCCCATTGGGCCAGGCCGACCCTAGATGGGGAGATGATCTATGATCTTGAAAGCACATCCTTCTTTGTTATGGGGACCCAAGGGAAACAGGGTTGGGCCATGGGCAGGTCTGGTCTCCAAAGCCTGGGAGGATAAGATTGATGTTCTGTACTGTGGCTCCAAGGACAATGTGATCTGTTCTGGAGCACAGGGTGAGCCTCCCTAGGACCCACACAGGAATTCAAGCTCTGCACTGTGAAGTTATCTTACGCCTTTCCTGAGCTCTTAAATCAATTTTCAGTAGAAAGAAAGAAAGAAAGAAAGAAAGAAAGAAACAGCTGGCATTTTCCTTTGAGGGCTCCGAATAAAACTGGAGCTACCTCGTGCCACTAGGAGACAGGGGAAAGATGATCTACCGAACTATAATGGTTCCTTAAACTAAAACAGGCCATGGAGCCAGAGCAGAAGCCATCTAGGAAGGTATATTTTCCTTAGTCCCTCTTTTAAAGGCCTGCAAGATTTTTTTTTAAAAACCACATGAATTCTGTTTTTAACGTGCATAAAACCCTGAAGTTAATTTTTATGAGCAGAATTTAAATCCCTGAAAAACAGGTTTGGTAAAAATCTCTGACAAGACTTGAACTGCAAGATTGAAGGAGACCTCGGGGGGGGGGGGGGGGG